TTTTAATTTTCGTTGATTACCAATTGTTAATTGATTACTAGTTATATTTGTCGTATAAACTTTGATTGTCATTTTGTTTTTTTTTGTTTTTATTTTCTAAAAACAAAACTTAATAGTATTTCAATATAATATAATGATATGAAACAATATTCTTTGAAATAGATAAACGAAAAGATTAAATATTATATCTAGGATATTTAAGAAAGAGTTAAGTACTATCGTTGAAAATATAATCATAATTGTAAAAAAAAAAAAACTTTCTATGCATAATGAAACAAATTCTCTAAAATACTGATATGAAAAGTTGTATTTATACAAGATTCTACTTGGTTTGATTAAAAAAAATAAAGTCAAATAAAACTTAAACTTGTAACTAAAATCAACTTAAACGAAATGTATATTCATAAGTATGTCTTTGATAGATAATGAAAATATATGTTCGTAGAAAAAAACGAATGATTTGTATTTAGTTCGAATATTTTCAAGGTTTTATAAAAATAACTCAATAAACAATGACATCATTTTTCTTTGTAGAAATATTTGTGATTTTTTTATAGATGCTCATGATAATGTAAATGCGTAGGCTTCATATTAATTACATATCATACATTGTAAAATTCATAATTATAGATGAATAAACTGTCATAAAAATTATTCAACGTTGTTATCTTTCGATCAATACAAAAAAAAAAAAAAAACAAAGAATTTCAATTTTTGAAGGACATTTTTTATGTTTGATTAACTTTAAAATTCGATTTGTCCATATTGATTGTTTATTTATTCTATAAACAATTTCTTTTTTTTTTTTGTTACCAAAGAGAAAAAAAAACGAAGAAGAAAATATTAATGATTGAATATAAGAATTGAACCAATCATATTACACATGTCATGATGGCGACATTTTGTATTGAAAACAATTTTCCATGAAATTTTTCAAAAAAAAAAGAAAAAACGAACCAATTTTAAAAATAGCTTTTTATTTAAATGGAATACACTTGTTGATTTTTTTTTTTTCTTTTTAAAATAAACATGTTGATTAAACCTCATGAGTCATAAACCATTGCAAACATAGAGAAGAAGAACAAGAAAGAAATAAAATGCTCTCGTGCAGCATATATTCGACTTGTTTATGCTTCTATTTAAGTACTTTGATTTTTTTTTTTTATCATAAGTAAAACTACTTTCGTCATTAATTGATAAAACATTTTAGTAATAAATAAAAATTTTTTTTTTTTCTTTTGTCTTTGTATTTAAGATTTCATTTATAGACATAAAGTGTGCGTGTGTGTGAGTGTGTGAGTTCGTTGTTTCTAGTCATGCGTTTCTATTGTCATTGTCTCAATGTTAATATTGATGTATTAGAAATAAATGATGATAACGAGACGATAACACGTATGAATAATATTTTTTTTGCTTTATATTTTATATAATTAAAATTTTTGTTTTTTTTTAACATAGAATTTGTACCCGTTGATTTAGTACAAATTGTTAATATACAACATGAATGGTTTCTATGCGATGTACCATCCGATCAATCGGTACATATTACATGGCAAAGTCTTCTTCAATCAATACCTGTGCGTGACATGAAATTGAACCGGTGCTTAGGATGTCATTTATATACACATGTTACAAATATTGGTCCAACTCGAATGTTAATTAATAAAGATCTCCTTGTATGATTGAATATGAATGTTTTGTTTTCTTTTTTTTTGTTCTGTATTAATATAAACAAAATTATGAATGTGGCTTTTTTTTTTAAGGATGAAACGACAGCTAACACTGTATTTCATGATCCGAATTATTCAAACATAGCAAAAATCGTGTTACCAAACAAGACGAACAGTATAAACTTGCCACGTTTATCTAGTTCACAAGGTAAAACATAAAGTTAAGAACAAGAAGAAATTTATGTAGGTTTTTGTTTTTTTTTAAGACGAAAATATTCAACGTGAATGTGAATTAGCTCAACGAATTTGTCGTCAATCAATAGAAGATATAGAACGTGAAACAGAAGAAAAAATTCGGTAATAGATTGTTATTTATTTAAATTTGAAAACTATTCTTTTTTTGTTTGTTAAATAGTATGTTTCAACGAGAACAAGAAGACTTATTAGAGAAAAAAACAGAACAATTAAATACAGAATTAGATAGATTTTTAAAGTAAATTTAAATGATAGTAATACTATTTAAGTAAAACAAAAAAAAACAAATAATTTTTTTTGCTCTATAGTTTCATGCGGTCAGTATCTCGACATGCATCAAATACAAAAGGATCGCCAACATTACAGACATCAACTTCATATATAAATGAAAATAGGTATTTTTTTCTCAAAAAAAAAAAAGAAAACATAAAATATGTTTGTGTGTTTTGTTTTTTTGAATAGTACGGAATCTGGATTTGGTTCAGATATTTTTGATGTAACTGCAACAGATTTCGGTCGACAATCAACAACAATTGAACGAGTAAAAAAAATTTTTTTTACAAAACATATTTTTCTTATTTATTTCTTTATTTTTTTAGACATTATCTGAACGAAATACAAATTTAGATGATGAAACAAACGATGATCCTATGTTGGATAATCGAGGTAAATTAATTATTTGTTTTATTTTTTTCAAATTTTTTTTTTTTTATATTATATTTATTTTCATTTTAGGTTGGTTTGCTGATAGTAGTAATATAGCAAATTTTGCAACATCATTACCTAAAACCATTGCTTTTCGTCCTTCATCTACATATTCCATTCCTCATCAAGTATTTTATTATATAATAATCAGGAGTGATCTCTTTATCTCTTAATAATAATTCTATATATTTATTTCAAGGATGATGATGGTAGTGATGATATTGAACGTATTGGTAGATCATTTCGTGATTTAAGTCGATCAATGTGTACAGATGGCACAGAAGTTTTTGGTGATCTTCCATCACCTAGACTTAATGCTCGACCAACTTGAACAAAACAAAAAAGAAAAAGAAAAAATAATTCATCAAAATCTTTCAAATTGTCATCTCATTTATATAGATACAGACATATATAAATATATGTGTGTATGTTTATTGTCTTTCTCATTCATACACATACTTCACTATTGTTCTTTGTCTATTATTCTTTTTTTGTTTTGTTTTGTTTTTTTTTTTTCTTCATTGTCTAGTGTGTGCATGTGAAACTATCACACATACATAATTTCAATACTGTGCCTCTTTCATACTTATTGCATATCGGTCATGCTTTAAGTATTTCTTTTTTGTTTTTGTTTTTGTTTGTTTATTTGTTTCATTTGAATTGTATATGTTAAATAGAGAGAGAGAGAGGATAAAAACAAGCGAGTTGTGAGCATATTATTTGCCATTTCTACTTTTTTTTTTGTGTGTATTTGATCTCTGCTTTGGAATGACGTCCTTTGTTCTTTTTTTTTTTTCTTTTTTGTCTTCCTATTATTACCTCGAAGTTTTCTGTTTTCATGGTAGATTAATCAAAAATGGGCACGCAGCTTGGAAGACTTTATTTCATGTCTGATAGTATATATGTATATTTATTCTAGCTGTTTCTTCATTCGTTTGTTTTCCGTTAGTAAAATTGAAAGTATTGTCATTATTAAAAAAAAAAACGAGTTGTTGGGCAAAGTTATGATTACTTTTTTTTTCTTTTTCACTGCATTTCTGTTTTTTTTTTGGAAATTCATAACAAGTTCAAGAGAAATAATTATACCATTCATAGGAAAAAAAGAAAAGAAAAGAAAAGAAATTTAACTTTTAAGAAATTGAATGAAAAATCTTTTGAACTATATGTATATATGAATGGTATTATTATGACTTAAGACACTTTGTTATGTATTGCTTGATTTTCCTTTTTTTTTTTTTTTCTGTGCTCTTTCTTCTCTTGCTTGTGTTGTTAACATCGACACGTACACATATATTGTTGCTTTTCTTTTTTGTCTCCGAAAAGAAAGAAATAACGAACGAGAGTATTGAATTAATCTTGATGTATATATAAAGATGGCCTTTTCAACGTCATACATAATATAAACAGATGTCCATCGACAATTGATACATCGTAGAAATGAAATATGACAAATGAGATGACGATGATTATTTTCATTGAGAATATCATATTCAATGATTAATAATTATATCCAGATTTGTAATTAATGAAAATATAAATCATTTTGAAACGAATATCTAAATCATTTTGAAACGAATATCTAAATCAAAAGATTTATTTATTGAGAACAAAAAAAATATTTATATATCAAATAAGCACTTCAGTCAATTTATGTAATAAATGGAATTTGTGTATTCATTGTTATAAAAAGTTATCTCAATGAAGAAAAATGATATTTTGATAAAAACATGTTGAGAACTAAAAGGAAAATACAATGTTTTGATTAATAACACTTATTAATTTGCTTATGTTATCAATGTTAATTATTGACATAAGTGAAAGAAAAACTTCATCGAAAAAAAAAACAACAATCAATACTATAGCCAACCAGAAAATTTTGTTTTTATCAAGTATCTTTTATGATTTGAATTGCACTTTAGATTGAGAGCATTGTTTATATCATAGAAATTTTTACTTATTATATATATTTGCAATAAATATGCATCACAATGTGCTAGATTATAAGAACTTTCAAGTTATTAGATAGACAAAAAAAAAAGTTCTATACAATAAAATATTTAAAATGATAATAACTGTTTATTGTTATTCAAGAAAATAAAAATCATATGATTGAAGTTATTCATTCTATATTGAAACAAAAATGGGATATGAATACTTCGTTGATTTGACTTATGAGAGAAGTCTCTTAATTGATTAATCGATTTTGAGTTTAGTGCATTTTTACGATGGTTTTTAAATGAATACTGTGTTGTTTCACCATAGAAATAAATCAAAAGATAAAGGATTATGCTATAATTGAATTGTATTTTTGCGCGAATTTATTTTAAACAAAAGAAATGAGTCAAAGTCAAACTTAGTACTATTGTAAAAATGGAGTCAAAACAGATACCATTTGCCTATTCATTTAATGTTGAAACACCAAGTCAACTTATTGATATTATGACTGATCAAGGTAAATTTATTTCTTTTATGATTGACAAAAAAAAAAAAAAAAATTATAATCAATAGGAGTATATTTACCAATGGATGTTAGTCTCAATCAAATGGCAAATATACGTTTTATAATTTTGACACATCGTTTACGTCAAATACCATTTGATATAATAAAAATTAATGATTTTTGGTTTATAGAAAAAGTTTTTCATCATGATTTAAATGATTATTTGAAGCAAGGAGATCGTCTTCTTGTAAGTATTTGTTTTAATGATTTGTTTAGTAGAAACATTTCTAATAATAAATATAATAAAAGATCATAAATAAAACAATGATTTCTGATCAATTACAAGAAATAGATATTTTCAAATTAATACTTTATTCATCAATTCCATTCATTATATGGGTTACTTGGGATATAGGTAAAAATTAAAACATTAATCTAATTAAATTCAATATATATTATTGATTTAGATACATTTTTAAAATATCAAACTATATATCGACAATATGAAAATGAAGGTGCTTATCTTAATGCAAAAACTTATTTACTTCAAACACATCATTATAATGATATTAGCTTGTATGAAATATAGCTTATAACGATATTCTTTTTTTTTATTATTGATTCCATTTAGATATGATCATCTTGCATTTATTATTACTAATGTTATTCAAAATCCACAGAATAATATGAGTAAGATAAGATTTTCATATCACATTAGGAATGTGTAAGATTAGTTTTTTTTCACATTCTGTACTCTGATTGAGAGAAAAAAAAAAGTTCTGAGTAACTTTACATATTTTTATTTCATATGTTGTTTTCAATTGTAATACATTTTATAGATGATCTCTTAGAAAAACTAAATCAATATGTACCATATTCAATCTTACGTCCAACAGAGGATAATACGAAATTGGCAATGACGAAAATTCATGCTCGATTACTTGAAGTTTATAATAAATAAAATACTATTCTTCAATTTTGAATAATAATAATTTTAGGGAAAACAACGAGATTTACTTAAATCTAAAGATTATATGATTAAAGCTGTTCCTTATCTAATGGAAATGGCTTATTACTGTTCAAATGCTGGTTATGGTATTCATACTACAGAGATTATATTGTATGAAACCGTTTTTTTTTTTTTGTTTATTTTGTATATAAAATAAATATAATTGTTGATTGTTATTATTCGATAGAATTTGGTCAGCTATGAAACGTTTAAATAATGAAATTAATTGTATAGAAATGAAATTTTGGGGAAAAATATTTGGACTTTATTGTGATTATTATATTATTCAAGTAAGATTAGATAGTTAATAATTGAAATAAAATAATTTATGTAAACAAATTTTTCTTATTATAAAAGATTCAACATGAAAAAGAAATTCCATTTAATGAAATTGATATTAGTAATAATCAATCAGGAAATCGAAAATATTTATCAATATCGAAATATTCAAATCATCGAATAGAAACAAAATTAAATCAAGAACAAGTAAATAAAAAAGAAAACCTAATATTAATAATTAAATAGATAAAAATCATATTTGATTATTTCCTTAAGGAAGAATTATCATTCGAAATTCCAAGTGAACCACATGGAATTGGTACTAATCAATATACTTATTTTGTAACAAATTCACCTGGACTTTCATGGATAAAATTACCTGATGTTAAACCAATTATGATTGATTATGCAAGAAAAATTCGATATTTATTTACTGGTTGTCTTTCATCAAAAATTAATGGATTTCCACCATATCCTGGTTTAGAAAAAGATTATCTACGAGCACAAATTGCACGTATTACAGCAACAACACATATATCACCAGCTGGTTATTATATTCTAACAGATAATGGAGAAGAAGAAGAAGAAATGAGTTTTAATAATGAACGAAAAGGTAAAAGAAAAATAATTAACATTAGAAAATAATTAAAAAAAAAAACAAAATAATAGACCCAAATATTATACTCAATCCTGAATACAATAATGATCCGACAAATATAATTACAACTGAATTATTAGCTGATACAAATTTACAAGAATGGGTACATACTCTACCAGAAATATTAGCACAAGGACGTACACATTTTTGGCGTCCACCAACAAATTTAAGTCAACGAGAAGAAGAAGAAGAAGAAGATAAAGAAACATTAGATAGGAATAGTATTGAAATACCTGCACCACTTTTACAACCTATTGGTGATGATAAATTTTTACATACGAATCAAACTCCATGGTCAATCGGTTTAACAATGTCTATAATGCGTGAATATAGTTTGTGTTATGTAAGATCAAATGCTTGGCCAGGTGCTTTTACTCTTGGTCATGCTCGGTATGTATATATATGTCGGCGTCCAAACTAGAGTCCGTCGGATCCGGGTCCGGATCTGAAAATTTCGCATTCATCGGGTCCGGGTCCGGGTCCAGAAATCCTTGGACCCGACGGACTCTAGTCCAAACTGAGATCGCGTCCAGTCTTAGATTGGTCTAGGCGAATGTGCGATCCGAGATTGGACGGACGTTTGTTCAGGCCATTCTCGGATAAAATATAAAACACACATCCTATCTATGATTGGACTGAAGTAATCAGGTGAACCTTAGATTGGACTAGACGAATGTCGGAATGAAAGATTTGCATGGCCAACCTCGGATTGGCCTAGACCAGTGTTGGAATGAATACGCGCTATTCTGTACTCGATATCAAAGATAAAACCTGAAAGTTTTATTCTGATCAAACAGTAATGTTGACTAACTTCATGTCTTATTTTATCCTTAGATCCATGACCAGTTTTTCATGAACATCCTTCAAAATTCTGTAATATGACTGCACAAAACCAATTCATCGATCGATCTTGGTTGAGCACAACATGCGAACTCCAAAAGTATTGTCAATTTTGAAATGATATTTACACCACCCATGAAATTTGGCATCAATACTACTGCTCTTGCCACCTTTCGTATGTTTTAAAGCAAGAATAATCCTATGATAATACTCCGATGAAAACATTGTTTTTTTCTCAATATTTCAATCCGGCACGGTACTAATTGACTTTGGAATAGAATGTTTATTCTTCATTGAAACAGTCGTCGTCATCATTGACAACTTTCTCGCCATCATTACTAGTGATAGTATCATTTTCATCAACGATTACATTGTCAATTTCAACGGTTATTTTTGGGTGTCGATAGAACATTAGTTGCTAATAAGTTGGCACTCATGGTGATGAAAATAACACGTTGAAACAAAACGTAAAATCTTAATCTTATATTACTATTTTTTTACGGTGACTTTAACTGAATTTTTCTTCACAACACTTCCAATCCAGCTTTTATTCGTTAGATTGTATGGAGCGAAGTACCCTGTCTATATCGCAGTGAATTAACGAAGTTCACAATTCATTCTAACATTGTCCTAGGCCAATCTGAGATTGACCGTGCAAATCTTTCATTCCGACATTTGCCTAGTCGAATCTAAGATTGGACGTAATCTCAGTTTGAACGCTGACATATATATAATTAGATTATACAAAAATTCTATTTGTTTATTTTTTAGAAATTATTTTAATTTATATGTTGGTTGGGGACAAAAATATGAACAATTCAATCCATCTCAACCTTCTCTACCTGAAATTGAATTAAAAAAACAATTCATAGAACAAAATGATCCAACTGTAGAACTTGAAAAAGCAATGGAAGAAGTTCAACATGAAGCTGCTTCAGATTTAATGTCTGAAGAATATGCTACTGAAGAAGAAGATGATGAAGAAATATTTACCGATGAAGAATATTAGATGTTTGTTATCATAAATAGAAAGAATAGGAAATCAAATTTAAGATTTATCTAATCATTGATATAATTAATTTTATTGTAATTATTTTTCAAGTTCATTACAATTATTCTAAATATGTATATCATTCAAGACATTGAAATATTCTTGTAATTACAGAATGTTTCAAAAGTCCGACCGAAAAAAGAAAATATGAATAGAGAAATGCTTGTGAAAATGAGTCAATGTTAAGTATTCAATCTATTACAAACAACATACCGGATTATGACGCAACATGTCTTATTAAAGTACAAATTGTTCAACCAGTGGCGGATCTAGGATTTTGAAAGCGGGGGGAGGGGGTGCGATCATAGGCAAAAAACACATTTTGAGATGTATTCGAGGTAGTATGAGCTTATTTTTCGTTCGTTTTTGCTGGGAAAAAATTCTCTCAAAGGATTGCGATCGCTTTGTCACACTCCCCCCTAAATCCGCCACTGATTTACGTTCGTGACAAATAGCATATGTCAGAGATAATAAAAGTGTAACTCCTCAAATTTGTAAGTACTTCGATGAGAAGTAGATCTTCCATTAATTACGTAACAGATAAACAGATTTGTAAATACAATAGTTTCTATTCCCGCTCGTTTCCAATAATATGGAAGAACTTAAAGCGACATCCACACCATTCTAGAGCCAGCATCGCCATAGAAAGTTATGATCACTGCTGAAACTCTAATCTTATAGGAGGAGATCAAATGTTTAATTTTATTAGCTCTATATTATTATATAGAACTATAGAGTTATTCACGGAATTATGAGAAGGAGTTTACAAGGTATTGGGCAACTCTAATTAATTTTTCAAATATTGAATGTTATGATGCGAATTGAAGCCTAAGACAATCCATTATTTTCTTTTAATGTATATATCCGCTTTCAAACTTCTATCATATGAATTGAAAAATTCAATGGTCAAAACTCCTGTACAAGTTTTTATACATTTCAACAAATTTCAAACATCAAAATAATCTATGATACGAAAACTTTGGCATCAGGTGCTTGCTCATTTAAAGACAACTGGTTATATAGTTAGAATTAGAAATTTTCGCCATATCCGATTAATGGTGATTTTATCGCAGCCCTTAGTTTACGACACCAAAATTTCAACACAGCATCTAGTGGAAACCTGTCAAACAATGTAGCGGCCTATATCCTTGCGGACATCAACTTCCTTGCAAAAACCCGCATTCCATTTTCAAAAATTCAAAATTTTGAAAGGTTCATTCTTCTAATTCTAGATGCTACTAAAAATCAATGAATATGCTAGAATGACATCCTATGATTCTTTCTTTTTTTTTTTTATCTCCATTTTCTCACACACCTTCTTGATTGATAGATACATGATTATAAGAAGAGGAAAAAAACCGAGCCAACAACAGGGAATAATACATTTTGTACTTCATACCACTATTCATATCCTGTTGTTATCCAAAAAAGAAAAAAAGTCATAATAAACACATACACAGACAAATACTTGCGGCTTTATCACCGGCAGAAGAAGAAAACGAAAGAAGAAAAAAATGCAATTACTTTTCATAGGTTTTTTTTTTTTTCGTTCACCGTCGGAAATTGTTATGTTATAGATCTATCCATCATGACAAATAACAGGAGATTGTAGAAGGTTTTCAGTTTAAAAAAAAAAAAAACGACGACGACGACGACGAAGAAACAAACGATGTTATAACAAAAGGAGAGAGAGAGATAGAGAAAAAAAAGAAAGAGAGAGACATGCGTTTAGCGATCGTTCTCATCATTCAATTAATAATAATAATAATAAAGTGTAAATTTTTTTAAAATTGAAATGGTCCTTGTGCAGGTTGTTGTTGTTGTTGTTGTTGTTGATTTGTATTCACACCAGTTGTTGTATTCATTTGTCCATTTGTTGTTGATGTTACTTGATTATTATTATTTGTTGTACCAAATTCAAATGGTCCTGATTCTCCTTGTTGTGGAAGATTTTCTTCTTCATCAACACCAAAATATGTTTCAATAATATGAAATGCTTTTTGATAAATTTCAATATTTTCATGACTTTGTAAATATTCAATTTTATCTAAACCAAAACATTCTTCAATCATAATTGCATATGGATTAGGTCCATTTGTTCGTTTAGCTTCAGCTGCACCTAATTTAAGAATATTTTCTAAACCATTAAAAGCTACTTGAATTATTTTTGTATCTGAAACACTTAATAATTCACATAATGGTGGTATTGCTCCTTGATCAATTACATATCTTTACAAAAAAAAAAAAAAAAAAAAAAAAAATGTAAACATCAAAATAAAAGATAATTATTTACTTTATTTGTTGTGGTGTACCACCTGATGTTGCATTTGTTACAGCCCAAGCAGCTTCTTTTCGTGTTTTATGATCACCATGTTTAAGAATATTAATTAATGATGGAAATATATTCGCATCAATAACAGCCTATAAATTAAAAATATTATTATTGATTAATAACAAAAAAAAAAAATTCTTTTTTACTTGAATTTGACTTTGAATACCAGCTGTTATATTTGATAATGTCCAACAAGCTTCTTTTTTAATTGATTCTTTTGGACTTTGAAGTAATGTTAATAAATGTGGAAGTACACCAGCATCAAGTACAAGCTATATAATTAAAATAGTTTGTCTTTTTTTTGTTTTTAAATTAATTAATTACCTGTGTTTGTTGATCATCACCTGTAACAATATTTCCCACAGCACGTAATGCTGATGATTGAACATTTAATACTGGATGTCTAATATAGTTTCAAAAAAAAATTACAAAATAAAAAAAATTCTATTCTATTCTATTTACGCTAATAATTCCACAAGTCTTGTTGTTACACCAGCTTGAATAACGGCTTGAATTTTTTCATTTGGTCCATCAGATAAATATGATATAGCCCAACATGTATCAGCTAATACATCCGAATCAAGATTATAAAGTAAACGACTAAGTACAGGTAATGCTGGAGCAACCTAAACAAAAATTTTTGATTCTGTTTATATTCAAATAAAATAAATTTTATTTTTACTTTATTAAAATCAACAGCTGGATTTTTTCCTCGACATAAATTTGATAAACACCATACAGCATTTCGTACCATTGTTAAACGTGTATTACGTGAAAAAATACTAAAAACAAAAATTTATTTTTTTTTTTGCATCAGAAAAAAAAATTGTTTTTTTTACTTTAATAATGGTTGAAGTACACCTGTATCAAGAACATAATCACGGCAATCAGGACTATCTCCAGCTATATTTCCTAATGCCCAAACAGCCTAAAATAATTATTAATTTTTGTTTTTTTTGAAAAGAATATCAAAAATAAATTGATTTACTTGTTCTTGAACATCTTCATTAGCACTACTTAATAATTGAACAAAAACTGGTACAGCACCAGCATCAATAACATATTTTGTTTGACTTGAATTGCCTGATGCAATATTTGTAAGAGCCCATGCAGCTTCAAACTAAATTCAAAAGAATTCTTTTTTATTTATTTTTAATTTTGAATCTCTACTTGAATTTGAAAATGTTGAAATTTTAATAATTCAACAAAACGAGGGACAATTCCGGCTGTAATAACTTCATCAATAGGTGGATTTGGTTCTATAAAATCAAAAATATATCAATAGATTTATGTCAAATGAATATATATATATATATACCTTTAGAAAGTAATTTTCGAAATCGAATTGTTGCTTCAAGCATTTGTTGTGGATCATCACCAAATAAAGCCGCAACCATTTGACTTGTAATGACCTAAAATTGTAACATCATTTCAATTTAGCTTTGATTATTAAAAATCCGTTTTTCTAGAGATTCTAAATTTGAAATTGATTATGAACTTCTCATTCGATTTTTGTTTACAAAGTATCTTAACATATAAAAACTAACCGTAGGGAAGGTTTCTTATGAATGATTTTGCTCTTGTTTTTTTTCTTACCGGTTCTGTAGGTCCTGCGGGCTGAGTGCCAGCACCAGCGACGCCAAATGGAGTTGTAATTTCAGGTTCATTTGTACTTGCTAAATTTCGTCGTTTGAAATGCTAAAAGTTATAAAAAAATTGTTTTTGTTTTTATGAGAAATTTAATTAAAAGAAAATTTTTGCAAACTTGTTCTTCTCGTTTTTGTTTACGTAAAGTAATATTTAAATCTTCACGTCTTTTACGTAATTCTTCACTATCAAGTCCTCGATGTTTATAATTTTTTTGACGTGCATCGTTTGACATTTTGTTGTTTTTTGTTTTAATTGAGAAGTATTAATTAAGTATGTGTTATATCTAAAATAAAGAGATAGTTAAATAAATTATTATTATTGATTCAATCAAAAACAACAAATTTGTTGTCATAGTAAAATTTTAAATTTCGTAATTTCTTTTTGAAAAAGTTTTTTAATGTTCTGTTTACCAGAAAATGTATCATGCTACGTAATAACTGTTATCTTATATTGGTTTATCTAGACATGTTGATTGACTAATTTTTATTTATTCGTTAGTCAATAGTTTTCTAAGAATAATAATATTATAAAGAGACGCGCGTAAATGAAAATTTAAAAAAAAAAAAATGAAAATGATCTGTACGAAGACATGACCTGATATTAGACAATAATGACGAAAAAGAAGTGTGAAAATAATCGAATGATACACATAGAAACGACCGTTACGTATATGATCTTGTCGGACGGCCTTTGAGCTGGCTTATTTTTCTTTCTTTTGGATTTGGTTGGTCAAAACCATCATTGGAGAGGTTTTAAGGAAAATTAATGAATCGATTATTGAACAACCTTTCATAATTCTAATAGGAATATTAGACAACATTAAAAAAAAAACAAATTAATAAAAGAATTTCATATGAAAATTCTTAAAAGAAAAAAATCTAATTTTTTTTTTTATTTTTAATCTATTTATTTTCAAAATAAAAAAAAATATCTTTAATAATCAATACTACAGATGTCACTATTTATCGTTTAAATATAAATTAATATTTGTGTAAGTAAGTTAATTTAGTTTATTAAACAATCTTTCAACTCTTTTATTATGATTACATTCTCTAAAATTATATGATTTCATTGCAAAGAAGAAAAAAAAAAGAAGAAGAAACCATTTAATTTCCATATTTTCGTGGTGCAAAATTTAAAACTCTAACTAAACAATCATCACCAACAGTGACAATATGATCTCGATCAACATATATACAATTTATTTTGACAATTTCATTATTCTGTGTATTGTATGTGTGTTGACTTGCAATACTAAAAAATAAAATAATTAATTATATATATATATTTTTTTTTTCTGTTTTTTTAAATTTCATTTGATATAATTACTGATTTAAATCCCAATATTTTACTAAACCATCTTGACCAGCTGAAACAAGTGATGGTTGTGTATCGTCATCACTTAATAATACTAATTGAACACTTTCAATTCTAAAAAAAGAAAATTCAAAAATTCAAATATTAACATGGAATTAATTACCGTCCTCGATGTTCATGTGTTTCCATTATTTTTTGAACATGACATGGACGTGATTCTGGTATATTAACTTTATAGATCATAATATGAACACCAAATGAATATGCTATATAACCATATTGAAGTGATACACTCATTATATAATCATCCGTTGTTGCATATAGAATTTTAATACATTGAGTTGTACTTAATGACCATAATCGAACTGTCTATATAAAATAAATAATGCTATTAAATACATATAAAACTATTAAAAAAAAATACTCTATCAGCTGAAGCTGTTGCACAAAGATTTTGTTCTTGATTAAGATCAACACCGAATACACTTGATGTATGACCAGTTAACGTTGCATAAAGTTCACATTTAGGTAAACGCCATAAACGTGCCTATAAATTATTAAGAAATTAATGATATGTAAAACTTTTATTTGATGTGTGTGTGTGTAGGTTTTTTGTTTCAATTATAAACTCACAGTTCGATCTTGTGAACCAGATAAACAAAAAACATTCGAACATGCTAATGACCATATTGGACCACTATGTGATAAAAGTGTTCGTATACAAATACCTGTATGTATATTCCAAATCTAAAGTATAGAAAGAAAAAAAATAAAAAAAAATAAATAAAATATAAAAATTTGATTTATACTTTAATTGTTGCATCATATGCTCCACTAATTAAAAGTGATGTTGAAAGAAATTTTACTGACCAAACACCTTTTGAATGACCATTTAATGTTTGACATAATTTTCCATCATTTAATAACCATATATTAACTGTTCGATCAAGACTACCAGTTGCTAAATGTGTTATATTTCCACAAATACATAGAACCCTATAAAAATAAAAAAAAAGAGAAAAAAAAACGATAGAATCATTTATTATTATTCATGATCTTTTCAAAACATATTTAAAAGCATCAATGACATTATCAAACTCATTCATATCATAAACAACACACACACACACATACAAACACGAAGAAAAAAAAAAACGAGAAGAAAAGTAAATGAATTCAATGTATTTTATCATATTAATTCTTATTATTTTCAATATAAAAATAATCAATACAGAAAATATTTTTATTTCAATAAATGAACTTGGTTTAAGTTTTGATCATATATGGAGTAAACGTGATGATACATTAATTATTTATTTTAATATATCAAATTCAACATTTAAAGAATATCATTATTATTATTATGATTTTCGTCCATTTGCTTCACAAAATTTAACAGAATATTTTCCAAGACAACGTTTAATTGATATACAAAATTCTTTACGTATTATTGGTTTACATGAAGGTGATTATGTATCATGTGTATCATTTATAGATGAATATGAAAATATTTTTAAACCACGTTATGCATGTTATGAATTTACAATAGGTGAAAAAACTGTTGGTTCACATCATGCTGGTTGGTCTGGTCGTTTAGCACCATTATTATTAGCTGTTGCTTTTGTTATACATGTATTTATAGCAGTTGTTCATCATATAAAAGCAAAAAATTATGCACAAAAATTATTACAACGTTTTATTGATGTTAATCCCAAAGGAACAAGAAGAATAATTAATGTTAAACATTCATTAAAACAACTTGATCATCCATATGTTTCAGCATCAGTACAACGACGACTTTCCCGTGTTACAATTGATGCAAATGATGATGAAAGAAATAATTTTTTAACAAATACTACAGATGATGATATACCAATTTATGTTTTACCTCATCATAATCGAAGAGTTAGTTTAGGTGTTATGCAAACTATACGTGAACACCATCCATAGTGTGAATTATATGTGCTTAAAAAAAAAACACAAAAAAAAGAAACAATACCTTTCTGTATGTCCCACACATTTGATAAGATGAGCCATTCCTGTTAACCAATTACGTTTTGTAGCTAAACGTTGTTTATGAATTTTTTCCCAATCAATTTGTATGGTTTTATTAACTATATAGAAATAAATTTAAATGCAAAAATTCATTATTTTATTGTTATTTAAATACTTTCTAATTTTTTAGATTTAATTTTTGGTTTCCAAAGATCATGTTCACGATTAATTATTGTTTTCCAATTTCTACATACCTAAAAAATGAAAACGAAAAAAAACAAAAAAAAAAAAATTTAAACGAAGTTTGTTTGTTTTTTTGTTTTTTATACTTCACGACTTCGAGAAACTTCTGCAAGAGTTAAATAATTTAATATTTGAAAAACAATTTTTCGAGGTAATAAACTAATGAAATCACGATAACGACGTTGCTATATATAAATAATAAAATATAAGTTTAAATTCGATGAATAATTTTATTACCGTGATCGCACATGAAGTAAAATATAATTGTCTTTCATCAAATTTAACAATAAGTCGACGAAGAAAATCATTTTGTTCAGATTCTATTTAAAAAGAAAAAAAAATTAATATTTATTTTGAACGAACAAAAAAAACACAACCAATCAATCTTACCTGACCAAGAATGTGTAAACCAATTTACTAATTGTTCCAAAGTAATCTTATTCGGTGTCTATAATTAAATAATAGTTTACAACAAAATGAAAAAAAGAAAAAAAAAATCTATTAACAGTTGAAGAAGAACTAATTGAATGTTCTGTCCATCGTATAGTAACCGATCGTGCTGTTTTTGATGTATATTGACTGAAACTTTTTTGTTTTTTTGAATTTTCAGTATTTGTATCAACACTTCTACAAACATTAAAAAAAAAAAAACTATACCAATACAAAATAAACATAAATTAATAATAATTTACCGAGATGGAGATCGATTTTTTTCAGTATGTTTTGCAAGAATTGATTGTTTAATTGGTGGACAATAAATTGAAGATGATTTATTTTCAGAATATCTATACATACATAAATATGAAATAGAAAACTCAATATTTTCTATTGGATATATGAACAAAATAATTTCGTTAACGACATAACTTCACAAAATTAAAAAACATCTGTATCTTGGGATAAGAAATTTTCTTAGAGCTAATTTTTATATATTAAATTACCCTAAATATTCTGAAATAATCAACGCTAGTGATCTTTATTCAGAAAAGTTATTAGTAAAAAAGATTAAATATTAGCAACATGTCTGAGTGCGAGTATATACAAACGAAAAAAAAAAAAATGTTCGTTCTAACCGAATGAAAATTTCAAAATTTCTTCAGAATCTCTAGAAAACTGGTTTTTAAGAGGAAGTTTTTTTTTGCTGAAAATTTCACCATAGATACTTTTCGTACCATAGAGTCTATTCTGAAGTTTTCGGATTGTTTTTCCTCATATAATTAGAGAAATATCAACTAATTACTTTTTAATTAAATACTCAGCCACAATATTTTTACATATGTTTATGTTAAAAAAAAAACTTATTCAGAAAAATAATCCTTGTCAACAATCAAAACCATATGAAAAGGTGGCTATGTTCCGTATTGCTTGAAATAGTCCATATATGTATATTCATTCAAGCGAAACAAACAGATGATATGATTTCATTCAATTATTTCATGGTCATACAAATTGATTTTCAATGATCATTTAAATAATTGCTACAATTGATCAAATCATATGACTCGTAAAAAAAACTGAAGACAGTGGCGAAATACATACACATATATATATATATACCTATATATTCAAAGTAATTAGTCTAATGATATTTTATTTATTGAAGAGAGTTTAACCTTGATATAACTTCAAATGAACAGCAATATTTTATAAGAATAAAAATAATGACGATAGTCAAGATTTTTATATTCTAAAAAAAAAAAAATAATTAAACTACAAAGAACATATAAAAATCAATGAAATGGCAGCAGCAGCAGCAGCAGCAACAACAACAACAACAGCGACAATTTGGGAGACAACATCAATAAGATCAATTCCTGTTATAGGTGGACCACAATCAGCATTTGCTCGTCTTTTTCCTGAAAAATATCGACAACAAGAAGAACTTCTTAAAAAACAACGTTCACAATCAAGTGATAATCAACGTTTAACTAATGAACAAATTATAACAACTGAAAATAAAACAAATGATGATGATGATAATAAACAAAAATTACGAAGATCTCGTCGAGTTCGATTTCATATAAATGATAATGATAATTTTCAAAATCGTACTAAATCTGAACCATATCTTAATCAAATTCATTTATCATCAAATTATTTAAAACATAATATTAATTATAATATTGATAAACCTGAAACAATCTATTGTAATAATTCAAATGATATTACTTATACTCAAAAAATAGGTATTCGATATTTAAGACCACCTACACCACCTTCACCTGAACCTCTTGTTTTTCATGAAATACAGTCAACACCACCTAATGAACCATCACCAATTGTTATTTCAATAACACCGTAAGGCTCTGTTTTTTCTTTTTTGCCTATTGATTTTCTTCAAAAAAAAAAAAAAAAAAAAAAATTTAATTTTTCTAGACCTATTCCACCTCGTACACCATCACCATTAATTGTTCGTGAACAACCACCAACACCACCAGAATATCAACCAGCAGAAATTATTACAAAAACATTATCACCATCTCCAATAATACCACGTCGTGTTATTATTAAACGTCTACCACCTTTACCAGCTAAACCACGTCCAGTAATTATTGAAAAATGGTTACCATATAAAACAACAAAAGAACGTCGTGTTTTATTTCAACGAACTGAACAAATTCGACCTATTCAACGTAATCTTATTCTACAATATGAATCACCTCGTATTAAAATTCAACAAGAAATTCAAAATTTTGGTTGTTTTCGTGTTGATCCAAAAATTTATCAAGAACAACATGGTTCATCACTTCGACGTACAGAAAGTATTCGAAAAGTTTTAGAAAATATTGGATGTAATGTTGATTTATTAACATCAACAGGATATAATACTTGTTATTCTTCAACAATAAATCAAATTAATAATTTATCACATTATGATTATCCACGACAAACAACAACAACAACTCATTTTACTAATGAACAATTAGATTCATTAATTGGTTCATCAATTCCAACAACAACAACAACTACAGAACATCATTATGATGTACCAAGAATATATAATGATGATGAAACATAAATTTTCTCTACGGTTTACAAAATAAAAAAAAATAAAAACTTACTGTGCAAATGATGATTGTGACTTCCTTGTAAGACCATCATCATCACGAAATTCTCGAAGATCATTGATGGTACTAAGGTAGAAGCTCTCTTCTCGATCGAAACGTCGACTATAATATTCCTGTGTTTTTTTTTTAAATATATAAATGAATGAATATAAAGACAAAAAGAATTATTTTCATACTTTAACTGATCGACTATCAGGTGTACTTATTCGTTTAAAATGATAATTAGGATAACGTGATTTAACAGCATAGAAATAATCACGATGTAATGAAGGTTGTAAAACTGTCCATAACATATCAAGTTGAACAGAACTACATAATGGTAATAATCGTTCGATTAATTGACATCGCTGAAAAAAAAAAACGACTTCATTTTTGTAAGCTAATTTTATTAGTAAATCATTTATCTGATTATTTGACGATGAATGAATACTATTGATTGTCAAATTTCATATACCTGAGCATGATTCCATTGTTCAGCTATCATAACTGCTCCAATTACATGTTCTTTATTTCGAGCAATTTTATTTAATGAATATCGATCATTTGTAATAAGTATTGGATTTATCATCATCATCATCATCATCGTCATGGTCAAATTATATTAATTAAAATTTTCTTTGAAACATTGTTTTTACTACAATAAATAGAGATTGGTATTGATGTTTTTTTTGTTGTTTCTCATTTTCTTCTTCTTCATCTTTTTTTCGCAATTTTTGACATTCCTATTGTTTTTTTTTACATATTCTTTTTTTTCTCTTTCTTGTTTTATTCAATTTTCAAAAGTATCATTAACATCGAATACTTGTGAAAAAAAATTACTTTTTTTTCTCTTTCATTTCTATATAAAATTCAAGAGTGTTTCATTATTTTATAGTGACAAACAAAAAAATATTTATTTTAACCAATAATGTCTTGAAGAATACATTATTCAATGATCTTTTCTTAATCAAAAATTGAAAAGCTAAACTAATCAATATGTTAGTAACCGTTGTCAAGAGTAATCGAATTAAGACTTTTATTCAAATATACACCAATCTATGTTATAATATTGTCTTTAAATATATACAATTTTACTGATAATATACTACAATAGAGAAAACAATTGGAGTAACTTTTCATTTTACTTAATCACTTAATAATAAACATTTATAAGTAAAATGTTCATTCAATCCGATGTATTGAATGAATTAGACACATCTCTATATCCTGTAAAACTCTGTGATTAATGTATTTTTTGTTTTCCAGAGAACAAAAGGAAAAAAAAACATCAATTATCAAGTTCCATAGAACTATCTTACCATATAAATGTAAAAGTATGTCTATTGTGTTAGACAAAGAATAAAAATAATGAATATGTTTTTTTTTTTATTATAGAAAACCAAAAACCAAATTTTAAGTAAAATAAAAACAAAAAATTGTTTTTCTCTTTTCATTTTAATTAAAATGGAAACTTGTATTTTAAATAAATTAATAATAATTCATCAAAGCATAGTTTTTTTTTTGTTTTTAATTTTTCAATATTAAATTGTTCATCGCGATTATATAATTAAATTTTTAGTAGAACGAATACATATATTCATATATATAATCACCGGAATTTGACTATAATAGATAATATTTTTGTTTATTTTTTTTTTCTTATACACGTTGAAATTCATGATGATTTCTACCATCATAATGATAAACAGGTAAATAAGGACGTGTACTTGATAAAATATCATTATATTCAATATCTTGTCTTGGTATTTGATAATCATTTGTTATTTTATTAGGTTCATCATTTGTTTGATGTCGTTTTTCAATATAAAGAACAATAATAACTATTAATAAAATAATAGTAATTCCAATAAAACCACCACATAAACAATATAATATAAAAGATTCAGAATTTTCTATGTAAACAAAAACTCCAAGAAATAAAATAGATTTATTATTTCAAAAATTTATCTTACGACGAATAAATTCTGATGTTTGAAGCCAATCAATGACAGCCATTGATTTAATAATATCGACAAATCTATTCAATGTCTAACACCTGTAGACTATTTTATAGATAAGAATTCTTTATACACATATGTACTTCATTCTACAACTGAATGAACATCATCTTTCTCTATTCTATAGAAAATGATTACATAAGAATAACTTATTGATTGATTGATTAAAAAATAAGCAATAAGATTTAGGGACAAGGTTCTTTTTCTTAACACATAGATACACACACACACACCTCGAATCGATTAAATAATAACGAGAATATCTCAACAGATGGTTAAATAGAATATGGAACAATTCCAAATGGTCAATTTTTCTAATATGATATCAATGAAACTTTACACACAAGAGACTTACGGATGGAAATTCGATTTTTTTGTCGTTCTCATAGGAATATATACTCATTCCTTTTACATCAATAAGATTAGTCAACTAACAAATTATGTATTCAATATGCTTTTTTTTCTGTTCTTCTGTCTTCTACAACTAATGGCAAAACAATGAATATAGATATACGTATGCAATCATGCCTGTAAACAATGTTTCATCATTTATTTGATTAATGAATGTAGAGTTTGCAACAGTCAAGTAGTTATTCTTAATAATCTAAGTTATTCTCTTTTTTTTTTTTTCTATTTTCTTTTTCCACCCTCCTATGAAGAGATCATACAGCGTCATTATCATCAAATTTCATCTTATACATTTCTATTATGTATATATTTTGGTTAGACAATACTTAATTGACAGTTGCTTTGATGGTATTTTCTAACTATTGTTATTATTTTTGAAGACACATATGGAGATGAAGCAAAAAAACAAAGTAATTATGAGATTCATTGTGAATTTTTTCTTATAGAAATATTAGAGAAGATAAATATAATTGAAAATAGTATAGAATTCGATCTAAACTCGTTATGAGTATATTCATAAATGAATTCAACATATATTGATAATTCATAGAGAAAAAATAAATATAATCATTGATATAATATCATTCAAAATATATTTCTTCATTTGAAATTTTCATTCTCTTAGACTACAATGTTTATTTTAGCTATATTCATATATCAAAACAAAGAAACAACCATATAAAGAAAATTAAAAAAGAAGAAAAAAACAAAATCTACTATTTAATACGTTCAAGTTTTGGTGCCAATCGCCAATCTAACCATCCCCAACCTTTTTCTTTTGTAGATTTAGAAACTGTTTTATGACGTGGAAATTTTGGACATTCAATATACATTCGTCCATAACGCCAAACAACATAACAATCTTGACATCGTCGACGTAACATATCTTTTGTTCTATACGATCGTACAAACATCATTGGTAATGATGTTGATTTCAAAACAGTTCTTTGAAGAATTGTTGATATTAACATACTTGAATATCTATATTTAAAAAAAAAAGCAAGGCTTCATGTTCTTTCTTTTCAAAATAGAGATAATGATTTTTTTTTTTTTGTTTTGGGAAAATGCTAAGATAATTTTATTGTTTTAAATAAAGAAAAAAAGAAAAGAAAACTGAAGCCTATACACAGGAAAACACAAAAGAAATAGAGGAAATGTTCATATTATTTTTTATTTTCACTACCAGTACCACTTGGTTTTTGTGAAACTTCAGATGCTGTAGGTTCTGGAGGTTTTTTTGAATCATCAAGAGGTCGATTACGAAACTAATTAAAGAAAGGAAAAAAATTTAATTTAATTTAATTGAAAACAAAAAAATTTTTGTTTTAAAAATTTTACTTTAGGAAATGTTTCCCATGGTGTACTTAATTCAAATTTACGATAGTCTTGTGTTAATTCAAGTGGTTCAATAACAACACGTTTTTGTTCTTCATCATAACGAACTTCTGTATAACCAGGAAGTGGAAAATCTTTACGCATTGGATGACCTTCAAAACCATAATCAGTTAATATACGACGAAGATCTGGATGATTAGTAAAATAGATTCCATACATATCCCAAACCTATGTATTTTAATTTATTATTATTATTATTATTATAAAATTTTAGTTTTCCAACCTCTCTTTCCATCCAATTGGCTCCATCAAAAAGATCACATATACTTGCTATTGGTGTTAATTCATCTGTATATGTTTTAACACGAACACGTGAATTATAACGAAGTGAAAGTAAATTGTAGGCAAGCTAAATTGAAATAGAGTTAATAGTTATTAAATAGACATAATATACAAAATTGTTAGGATGATGTAAATAGAATTTCATGCATTTTATAAACAATCATAGATGACTATTAAACAGTCTTGATCTCAATGTTTTAGATTATTATGTGTAGGATGTTATTATTAATCATATGCAATGGGATAAAGTTAAAAACTTAGATTCTTTAATTGATGAAATAGAAAAAAAAAACATGATTTTATTCACAATCGTACAGAATTGGTTTATTTAAAAAAAGATACATAGATAAAATAAGATTTTTATTGCAACATGTCGAGCATTTCATACTACACCTGGTGAAATATTTTGTTTTTGAAATAAAACGTAAAAATATAAAAATCGATCAATTATTATGGATCATTTGTTATATAAATCTATTATTGTACTGGCAAATTATTTCATTCTATTTTATTCTCTTCTTTAAAAACTGAAAACTATAGTCGAATCACTGATTCTCTTTTTTTTTTTTTATATAATAAAATCGATCAGATATATTAGCACAGCATGCATTGTCTATCTCAAAGATTCTCTTTTTTCAATCTAACATTCAGATTCTACTACATATCTATGATACATATGTTTAATAGGTAAGTTTTTTTGTTTTGGAAATAAATCCACATCATAATATACCTCAAATCGATAAGTTCTTGTAGGTACATCTATAGCAGTAATATCTGCTAATGAACTAAATTGAGCATTTGTATGATCTTTAAGAAAAGCAATGACAGAAAATATTCCATCTGGATGAACTAATATTTCAAGTTCATTTGTTGATGTCATTTGTACATGTTGTACAAAACGTGGTAAACATTCAGCAACATATTGACCAAAATCAACTAAAGCTTTACGTTGTTCAACATCGACACGAATAAGACTTGCTAAAATTAAAAAATAAATAGATCATGATAATAAATTGAAAAATTTCTTTTTTTTTGTTTTTTTGAAAAAAAAATATCTTACGAGCAGGAACATTTGGTGTTGATTGTGGTGTTGTGGTTGCTTGAGTTCGATAAAGGAATACTAAACTTGAAGGTATATTGCGATGTGCAGCCGCCGAAACAAATCCTGAATTATTCAAAACAAAAAAATATCGTTTTATTTTATTCATTTAATTTTCTTTTATGAGACAATCTTCTCCACTTGAAAATTGCTTTTGAGTTCGGACTCTGTGTATAAAACAGATCCCGATGAGGTGATACAAGTCCAAAAAAAAGAAAAAAGGTAAGAGTCTCTAGATCTTTCATACAGAGTTGTAGCCGTTTTACTGAAATTTAGGCCTGTAACACGGTATGTACAAAAAGAATCGAATGAGGATATTTTGTCCATAGATAGACCTAATTGTAACTAGAAAGTTCCCTTCATGAGATATTGAATTTTCGAATCTTTCGTAGAATATGAGTAATTTTTAGAAACTTAATATTCCGCGAGGAGAATATTCTTTTGAACTAAAAATTTCAGTAAAATGACTATAATTCTGTAGAGAAGACCTAGGAGTTCTTATCCTTCTTGAAGTTATTAATACCTTATTGAAGTCTATCTTATTCATAAAGTCTGAAATCAAAAGTGATTTTCAAGTTGGACATGTTCTCCTCATTAGATATTTTTTTTCTTACCTTTACTTGTTGCTAAAATTGGTCGAGCAACATGTCGAATAAATGAACTAGCCATCTGAAATAATATATATATATGAATATCTAACTTTTACTTTTCATTTTTTTAATCTAATAAGAAACATCTGACATATTTATTCTTTGTTTTTTGGTAAATTTTTACAACAATCAAAGATTAACAAGATAGTCTTGAGGATAATGTTGAAAAAGCATGACAGCTTGATTATACATATCCATATCTAAACAAATCAAAAAAAAAAAAAATTCTTTTAAAATTAAAAAAAAAAGCAAAAATCTCCTTTTTTTTGTTTTTTCTTACCAAAATTAGCCGTTTGTTCAGGTTCAAATGTTACAATAGTATCACAAACAATTTGATTTCGATTATCAACATTTCCAAGTACTTCAATAATACTACCAGCATTTACATCAACCTTAATATAAAGAATTATTACTAAAACAAAAAAAAAACAAATAAACTCTACATACCTGTTCTGATAAACGTACAACAATATGTTGTTTATCACTTGTTTCCAAATCGATTATATTACCTGATGGATGAATCTAAATATTTTATTAGTAAAAAATACTTATGTATAATAAATAGTATAATTTACCTTAGTAACTGTACCAATAATACTAACTGGTTTTTCATTGAATTGTTGAAGCATTGATCCATTAATACGATAATGATGCGACATATCTGAAGTTAAAGAAAATAAAATAAAATAAACAAAGTATAATTAATTTAATTTTCAGATATTTGATTATAAGAAGAACTATCATAAATAGGCCATTGATGTTTTAGAACAAAATTAACATCATTTATATTGATCGTAGTTGATGATGATGATGATGTTCCTATTCGTCTTTGTGCAATCGAAGATGATTTTGAAACTAGTTCTTGACCAAATAATGATGCAAAATTAATAAGTAATTTTTCAGTATCAGACTGAAGTGTTGGTTGTTGTGCATTTGATGATGATGAATATTGGCCTGATTGGAGAAGAATACGAGTAAAAAGACTTGATGGAATAAGATTTTCTAAATCGTTTGTTGTCATCTTTGTTAAATGAATGAATGAATGAATGAATATATAAAACGAACAATTAAATTTGTTTATAAATAAAACAAACTTTGTCGCTACTAGTTATGAAGATTTTGCATGAAGAAGAAGGAAGGCATGAAAGGTTTTTTGATTGCATTGAAAATAACCAATCAAAAGATGATAAAGAAAGAAAGAAAGAACGGTTATCCTTTATTTAGTGATATCGATAGGACAGTCTTATCGATTGAACTAATGTCTGAACTAAATTCTTTTTTTTTTTTCATGACCTAAACACAATTCAATCTTTGGAAAAATAATCCTTCCAATATCATCGTATTGTAAATTTGATTGATATTCCAGTGATGACCGCTAAGGGTTTTTAAACCTTAGTATTTTTATCATTCAAAAAGTAGAGAACTTTTCTAATAGAGTTTTACAGTATTCATTAGATTTTTTGTGAATTGATAAAATAAAACAAATTATTCAATGTCTTTTAACAAAAACAATAAAAAAAAAAAGGGGGGGGGAACATTAATTGTTAACTTTATTCTTCTAGATATTTAATAAAATATTAAATATGTCATTGTTACAACAACTAACAAAAAAGTAAGTTTAACTATTCTCTTTTATCTATCTATTCAATCATTCATGCAGATGTAAGACATTCCATATTTCATTTTGACGTAATGCAACATTCTCATTTCTTATTGACTCCGCCCTCCTTCTTCCCTTTTTTTTCTTCTTCGATTCATTCATTCGTCGATTTTTTTATTATGCTAGACCGGAAGACACGCCTTTGTTTGAGGCAATGGTGTACTTAATTATTTTTCTTTCTTTTGCTTCATTTCCTCAATCCCTCGAGCCATCTTTTTTTTCTTGCTCGTCAATATTCTATGTTGGATTGAACGATTGGAATAGAATCTACAATACAATAAACATCCATGCAAAAAAAAGAAAAGTTCGAAGATCTATGTAATAGTAGTAGTAAGTAATTGCCTACTAATTTAGAATATAGACGATAGTTATAACAGGAAGTATTAAAATTTCAATATGAGATCCGCTACGACAAACTAATCAAGGATTCTCTTTTTCTTTAATGAAATGAATTGAAGATAGCACGCGTCATTCATGATATGAAAAGGAAATTCGGTTGTTGAAGTGGTGAAATGCCAATGCATGAATAAAAAAGAAAATGAGAAAAGGCAAGAGAGAATATAAGAGAATAAAAGAAAAAAAAAAAGAAAATCTTGCATACGTCGATTTTTCACTTGTAATAAAAGAGTATGAAATTGCAAAAATAAAAAGAAATCTATAGAAATATTGATAGTTTTATTTTAATAATGACAAATAATAAAAATCCAAATAAAAGAACATTCAATGATGAGTAAGTTTCATATTTGATTTCTACATGATCTTTCTGAAAATAAATTATCTCTATAAAAGATAAAATTATTCAACAGTTATATATATAATTAGGAATTTTCTTATTGTTAAATACTTTAGTAAATTGATATTTGCATACATAATTAAGCTGATTATGTTTTTTCTTTGAATGAATCTTTTTTTAAAGACCTTGATGAAATGAATTAATATAAATGCTAAATTTTTTTTTTTTTTTTTGTTTATATATGATGCAATTGTATAATATATCATTTACATTAATCTTGAACATGCGTCATTTCTTATCCATATAAACACTTCTGTTACAATATAAGTGTTGCCTTGCATTTCTACAATGATAATTAAAATAATTTTTTATGCAACAGTGTCTGCAATCAATAGTTGAAGTTGTAATACGAATCTAAAAAAGATATCGATCAGTGTTTTATCCAACGTATGAGCTAAGAGGACAGCATTTCTTCGAAGAGCACGTTGATTCTCTCGGAGTTGTATTAGGTATCTGCATAGATTTCGATGAGGTAGGCTAGTTACTCCTAGTTTTTACGTCGTGTCTGCGACAATTTCTAGTTATTACAGGAAAATTGTCTGCTAGATTTTAACAGGCAGCTTTTCTGACGAGAGAAGTCGTTCAACTGGTCAATCGCTTTTGAGTCGAGACTATAAGCCTGATATAGGTCCAAATGAACTATGAATATCGTGAAAAGAGTTTGTGTCTTTAGGCTCTTGTGACAGAGATACTTTTAAATAAATTCCATGGTCACCCTTCACGAACATAAGAAAACCTGACTTTCAAATTTCGACTTGAAACTTAGCATAGAGACAAGGATATTTTGTTTTTCAATGTTTCAGATCTCGTAGCTGTTCTTATTCTAAAATATACCTATGATAATAGAATGTTTTTTACATTACACACATAAACCAGTAGATTTGATCTTCTTATTTTGAAATAGAAGCAAACTAAAAGATCTGAAACTTTCACAAAAACTTGAAATTCGAAAATGAATTTTTTTTTTTGATGTTCCTAAGGAGAGTCACGATACTCATTTTAAAAAATACTGTAAAATTGCAGTATCTTTTGAAAGTATTCATAATTCATTTGGGTCTACATAATCTGTACTCAAAAAATGATTGAACACTTGAAGAACTTCCTTCATCAATCACTCTCTATTAGACAAATTATCTTTGAAATTTTTAGCCTCTTTCACTTTTAAAAACTCGGAATAAAATATCGCTATTGATAGACGTTCGCTATCTAAAATAAAAAAATCGTTCATGGAACGTCCTTGAAAACATTTATCTAATGTCGTGTTCTTATCTCTGATATTTCGTACAAATCATGGAAATAGATATTGAATAGATGCATCCATCCATAACCTTCTTCGTCCTCGGACACACTATCTCAATGATAATGTAGTATCTATCTATGTGAAGAAAATAAATGATAAGAGTCCTACAATGAGATTATCTTTTCTTTCTCTATTATATTGATTCCATCTTGAAACGAAATCATAACATTAAATTCAATACTTCTCTTTTTTACACTCAATATTTTATTCCAAGTTTCTCTTCTGGAATGATGATGATGATGATGATTTAAAACTCCAGAAAAACTAACTTGATCTTCGAAGACATCTCCGTTAGATAAAACATTGTTTATATTTTAACTGTTAATTGTTCTCAAATATGCATTTTAAAATGTGTTAATCATCTATCACATACATATTTATATTCATACGTTTTCCGCTAAAAATATCTAATTCTTAAATAAATCTGATTGTCTCACACTTTTTTTTCCTTTTCGTGTTTTTTAATCGAACAGATATCTAAAGCTGATTAAATTCAAGAGTCAATTGACATGTATCAATATAAATGCATATGTTTATCATTTAAACAAGTAGAAAAAGCGTGTCATATTGATCTCTTAAGATATCATATATTTAACTCTTGACATATCTCTCATTAAAAATAATCATGATTACATTTTATCATGCAATTAATTTTCCCTAAATATAATGACTGACAAAAGAAATGAGTATATTTATTTCTTTTTTTGTTTTTTTGTTTTTCTTTATGAGAACTTTATCCTCGTCGATTATCATTTGTCAATAGACAACGTCTTTGATCTTTTTCGAATGAGAGAAAAAGCTGTTGCTGCTTGAGATTTGTTTTTTTCTTTTTTTTTTCAAAAAGTGTTCCGACCGTTTTTTTTTTTTTTCGTTCGTTCATTGATCATTTTCTAATATAACGAACATCAGAGGAAAAAGTGAATTCGCACATACAAGTCAATTACTACTGTCCATTAATTTTTCTTTGAATAAAAAATAGACAATTTCATAATGTTGTAAGTAAATTGATTGTTCTGTCCGAGTACTCTGACTAAAAGTTACAATCAATAAATATAAATGCTATATATATATATATATGATTTTAATTAGATTCAATATGACATCGTCAAAAATAAATGATTCAGATTTACGTAAACAATTTTTACAATATCTTAATCAACCAGAATTATGTGAACAATTTTATATTTATATGAAATCAGAACATTTAGCATATGTATTAGAATTTTATTTAGCATGTGATGGTTTAAGAAATTTACTTGATGATATATCAAAACAAGGTGCTATTATTGAACTTATATATAAACATTATTTATCAAATGGAAAATATTTATCATCATCATCAAAAACAAAATTTTCTTTATCAGATGATTTAATAATATCAATAAAACAACGTTTAATTAAACATGAATATCATTTAAAATTTTATGATCAAGCACAAGAATATGTTTTAAAATATATGTTACAAATGTGTTATCCTAAATTTCTTATTGAACAACAACAAAAAGAAGAAAATGAATTAAAAAAATGTCAAATATTATTAAATACACCAAAATTTAGTCCAATGCATAAACGATCAATGACATCAAGAAAAAAAGATGTTTTTGAACAATTAAAACAAAAAACAAATCAACGAATTCTTAAGTAAGATTATATAAAGGAAAAAATTTTTGCATTTTTCATATTTTGTAGTACTTCTGCTCCTATTAAAATATCATCTCATATTCGTCAACATCCAATTGAACCAAGGTAAAATATTATTATCTCTCTATTCCATATGATCAACATGATAAATTCACGTTAAGTCTGAAAGATTTGTGATTATTCATCATCAAACAAGTGTATACATTTCGTCACGCTTTCGCTTGAATAGCTGATTGAAGAGTAAGAGAACAACCTGTAGATTAGCCCCGATGGATGGATGGATGGTTAAGCGGCGACCGTTGGTTCGTTTCTTTCTTTTTCTTTTTCTCTTGTCTTCTTCTGCCGTTACCGCCGCCATCACGGCTTGTCTGAACTTCAAAGTATGCGGTTTACTTTGATCGTTCTAACTTCTAACGTTGTCGGTCTCTTTGATCTTGTCAACATGAATCACATTCAATTAGATTACACTATTGTGCCGACGCCGCGCTTGTTAGAAGGCAGACTATCAAAAAAAAAGAGAGAGAGAGAGAGAGAGAAAAGAGAAATAAAAGGAGAAAGACATATACACATATCTGATATTTTAAGATTAACTGTGCAGTTGTTTTTAACACAATGACACTATTACTAATGCGAAATCCTTATTCATTGTACGTTTTAAATGAGTAAAAAAAAAAAAGAAATTTCAATATTATTATTTTATTTTAGTTCATTAGAAGCATCAACATTGATAGCTGATCATGACGCTGGATTAAATATTTCAAAACAACCAGTAAGTTAATCTTTATTAATACAAAAATAAATAAATAAATAAATTTTTCGCCTTTTTTTTTTTTGCTTTTTTAAGCGAACAACAAAATTAACTAAACAACAAAAAGATCAATATAGTCTTGCACAACGTGATCCAGCTGCATTTTTTGAAGAAATTAAAAAACGTTTATTAGCTTATCAAGCTGAAAATTCAAGTGCAGCTAAAATTCGTGGTATTTCACAATCATTTAATGTACAAAATAAAGTTTCATTTATTGATCATCGTACAGTTGATGATGATTCATTAGCTGTTCTTGATTCACAAATAGCTAAAACAATTGATGATGCTGATAATTATTTATTTGAAACAATACCAACAACAAAAATTACACAACGATATAGATTATCATCAATAATAAAACATCAAGAAAATAAAGATTATTCATTATTACGAAATAGTTTTACACGATCAGATTCAGGAGTTGGAACAGATACATCAGAAAAGTGTGTTTTGTTTTTTTTATAAAATTAATAAGAAAAAAAAAATGTTTTTTTTTTTTTTTTTTTGTTATAGAAATTATGAAATATTTCGTTATCAACATGGACAACATTTAACATCAATTGATGTTATTTGGTATGCATCACTTGACAGTAATAATGCTCTTTTATCAACTATTCCACGTATTCATGATCATATAACATTTAAAGAATTTCGACAATTATTTAAAAAACAACCTATATACAGGTATGTAGAATTTTTTTTTTGTTTTTATTATTTTTAATTATTTATTTATTTATTATAGATATTTCTTTAAAACTACATGTACACCAGATATAAATAAAGAGCAGTATGTATTTCGTGAATTAACTATGGATGATGAATTAGTGCCATTTTATGATGGCAAAATTTTTGTACAATTAGATCGAATTTCTTAAGAACGGGTGTTTTTTTTTTTCTTCTTTGTGTTTTGTCAGATTAATTATTGATTAATATTATTTTTTTTTTTTCTTCCAATATGTTGAAGAATCGGTGTTTTTTTTTGTTTGTTGTTGTCGTTTGTTTATTATTATTAATGTCAGTTTGTTTTTTGTTTGCGTCTTTAAAAGAAAGAAAACGAGTTTGATTATGTATATTAAAAGATAATAGTTTTATACGGCAGTGATCATAATCAATGAAATTATTAGTTTTTTTTTTTTTTTTTTGATATAGTAATTATAGGTATTATTACAGATTTGACAATTAAGATTAATTCATTGAAAAATTTGAAGTTTCTTAAGATTTAAACTAGATTTTATAGTAATCAATGCATTAGTTGATCAGATGCAGGAATAATAGTGATCGAAATTCAGAAAAAATGTTTGTTCAAATATTTTCTATGTCGGAAGTGTTTCCGACAACATGACATTCTTTTTAGAGTATAATATTAGATTGGATAAAGTTGCTATGTAATATTGGAATCATGTTCATTTTATGTTTGACAAGTTCACAGAAAATAAAATATTGAAGGGAAAGAATTTTGTAAGTAAATTGTCTTCCTCGGTTGTGAGAGGAAGTTCAATTCTTTTGACACATGTTTAAACAGTTTCTGATTATCAGCTATCAAGTTGGAAAAATCAAATAGAGTAGATGTAGCATAGGCACTGCATCAATACTCTAATATACAGATCACTGGTCAATTCATTTTTAGTGTTAAGTTTTATGCAAAAAAATTATATGCAATACTAAAATGTCGAACAAAAAGTAATTTCAAAACTAGTTTTTGTTGACACTTTTTACTAAATATTTACGTTAAAGAAAACTGCTTTAGTCATTGTATAGGCCTCAAAAAGCTTTTTCCTTTATGCATTAGTTGATGTTGATTATTTTACGAAAACATTTGTATCTTTTGACAAAATCAGTGAGTCTTATATTCGAATTTGTCTCTGTTTGATAGACACAAGATGAAACGCTACACGGTTTTCACTATTCGAAAGACGTGATGAAGTCGCATCGAGTCATACATTATAGGTTCTCCTAAGATATTTTCTGAAGTTTGTTTTTGATCAAATTTTTAAAAATATCGACAAAAAAGCAAAAATTTGATTTTTTTTTCACAGCAGCTACTTAAAAAGTTGATCGACAATTTTGACTAGAATACCTATGTGACTTCTGAATAACTAAACCTAAAAATATGAGGCTTGCATAGCTTTATAGATCTTCCATTGGCGGGTTTGAATACACATCTGATAATTGAAAATCTTAGAAAAATCAAGTCGAAAAAAACCTGTACTAAACGATCGATGCGTCTTCATCTTCTCTTTCCAAAGACCAAAGTCGAGTTCTCTATCTTGTTTCTATCAAAAGTTATTTTAAAAAATTCTCACCCGCCTTTTTTCTTAAAATAGGAATAAGTTAACTATAACCATCAGATTTTTCGAATTTGTGTTAAAAATAAGATTTTTTATTCCATTGCGTAAAAACAGGTTATAATGTCTTTTTTCTCATTCGATGATTGAAAATTCTCTTAATGACGTATCTCATATTTTCATTGAAACAATTTTTAATACAAAAGGACGAAAGTTTATTGCAACTATGTTCCACTGTTTTATCCAATGTGAAGATTGGCACCTCTCTCCGAAGATTCAGTTCATCCTCTTCGAGTTTTAAATCGTCTCTCTGAAATAGAAGAAAGGTGCATACTGTTTTATTAATAGTAATGCTTATGTGAATCGAAATCGTACAGATTTTATTTCATTAGTATGAAAAAACTTTATTTATTATTGTCATCGAGTTTCTTAGATTGAATTTCATGTCTATTCTAAATAAATATCATGATTCTCAAAGTCATAAATCTTTCTTTCATATAAATCATCGAAATATTGTTCTAATTACAATCATTTATTCTACTTTAAATAGTATCATTCACAAGAATCTACAAATCGATTCTGTCTTTTGTTTTTTTTTTTTTTTTTTGTCGTGAGTTTTTGTTTTTCAATCATTTGATGAAAAAAAAATACTTAAACACACGTAACAAAAGAAAAAAAAAATTAGCAGCAAAAGAAAAAGACAATTAATAATGACAGAAAAAAAAAAAAAAAGTAAACAGATCATTTCTAACACAGACAGAAAAAGTAGAATAAACAACAAACAAAAGAGAGAAGAAAAAAAATTAGAATAAAAAGAGAAAAAAAGAAAAAAGACAAAATACTCTCAATTTAGTTATTTTTGTTTTTTAGAAAAAAAAAAAAAAAGAATTCTATTTATTAATTAGTTCTCCTTTTTGCACGACTTACATGACAGGGCAATAGAAGATAGAAAATCAACTAAGATACAAGCTAATAATCAGCTTGAAAAAGAAAAAAATCATCTGATAAAGAAGAGAAAAAATATGTTCATACATCGAACAATCTCATTAAATTTTTTTTTTTGTAACTATCAAAAAATCTCTTCAATTAAGAGAAAAGAATGTAAAAAGGAAAAAATAAAATAAAACATAAGATAACAATAAACAGTCATTCATCAATACGTACGACGACGACTAGAAATTAAATTGAGATCATACCGTACACACACGTATATATATATATATATATATATATATTTAAAATGCATTTGCACCTATAATACAATCAATTGGTTGAGAAATTGATTGTTGTTGTATTGGATGAAAGACTGGTTGTGAAGATTTTGAATGACGTGTCACTGCTTTATGTGATGACATACTACCAATATGAATTTTTTGCCAACAACGTTGACAAAAATAATCGAAACAAGCAAAATTTCGACAAAATAAATCACCAGCAGCTGTTTTACATAATGAACAAAATCGATATTGTAAATGTGGTTCAATTTGAAGACGTTTAAGAAAACGTGGAGTTCGAACATCAACTAAAGAAAACGAAATTTATCAAAAACAAAAAAAATTTCGATTTTTAAATTACCAAAAGCTGTTGAAACAGCATGAAGAAAACTTGAACTATTATCAAATGTTACACGACCACTACCAATTCTACAAAAAAGATACCAAAAATCTTCTTTTTTTTTTTTTTTAAATTTTAAATATTACTAACGGATATTTATATTTATCAATATCAACACCAGCATAAACAGCTCCACCAAATAAATCTTCCATTAAACGCCATAAATATCTTGCTGTCATTGTACCATGAAGATTACCAACAAATATTGTTTTTTTTGAATCAAGTTGTTGTGGTGGTCTAAAATAAAATATTAATTCTTTCAAAAATTTTAATATTCGAGAATGAGATAATTATATTTACCGTAAAGCATAATTATTATCACCAATATTCCATGGTATAACTTCAACAGTTTTTCTTGAACCAGTTGCTGTTTCAAAATGAATAAAATAATCTGGACATGCACTATTATTTGTATGACGTGAACAACAATCTAATAATGCACAAACAGATTTTGCATTATGAAAAACAATATGAAAAAAGCCATTTTCACGATGTTGTTCTTTATGACCACCATGTAATTTTGGCCATTGAATTTCAAATATACCAAAACGATCAAAATTTGCATGTATATCAGTTTCAGTTGCAAAACGTGGTACACCACCAATAAAAACTTTTTGTGAAAGTAATGGTATTTGTTGTAAACTATTATTATTATTATTATTATTATTATTATTATTATTATTAATATTATTGTTATTTGTATTTGTATTTATTTGTTCAGTTGAAAAATCTCCAATCCAATGACGTATATTTTCTGTTGAATCATCTTGTATAGGTGATATCATTGGTAAAATTGATTGTTGTTGTTGATTTTGTTGTAAAAATGATGATGGTGGTGGTGATATTTGTGATATAGGTGCTAATGAAAGTAACCATGGTGGTCGTGCATTTTCATCATTAATTGTTGTTTGATGATGATGATGATGATGATGATGATGATTTGTACTAAATGGTAATGGTTCATTTAAACTATTATTATTATTATTATTAAATGTAAATGGTAATATTGATGAATTATGTTGTGTATTAAGATCATTAATAACAAGTTGTTGAAATGGTAAAACACATGATAATGATGTTGATGATGATGATGATGATGTTGATTGTTCAAGTGATAATATATTCGAGCTATTACGTAGAATATAATCTTGAAATGGTTTTGTTTCTTGATCGAAGATATTTTCATCTAGAAAATATTTTATATATATATATATTTAATATTTTTTTGAAAATTTAAAACTTACTCGATATATTTCCATTTAATGTTGTTGGCCATGTTGAAAGAAAATCTTTAGTACTATTTTTTGTTGGAAATGAAAAATCATTACGCGGACAACAATTAATATCCATTGATATCTATATAAGATGTTAAGTAAGAAGAAATGATATGTTGTTATATATATCTGTGTGTGTGTGTATGTTTATATGATTTTGCAACGAATGACTAAATTTTCTTCTATATTCAAATTTAAACTTCTTTTTTTTTTTTTGTTTTCGTCGATGTCGGATAAAAGAAAGAATTGTGAATACACACACAACTAGTAAAACATATATATATATATATATATATATCTTATATAGTCCGATTTGTCTAGTGAAAGAATGTTTTTCTAATAATGATAACTTTGTATATGTTAAGAGAGAACGAACTAGATCTAGGAAAAACAAAAAAGAAAATGCACGAAAGAAAAGAATGAAAAAACAAAAAGAGAAAATAGTGACCGAGGTCAATTCATTGATCATAAACAGTCATTTTTATGTTAGGAAACTACAATTGAACTGACATTCATTGATATATATCGAAGTTCAAATAGAATGCACGATATATATTGTATTGAACATAGACAACATATGAGAGAGAGAGAGAACGAAAAAAGAGAAAGAACGAATGCCTGATGTCACACTATAGGGAAATAAATGTAGACATGAACATTAGATTGTATGAAACAACATAACAAACCAATTGAGATTGTTTTGTTATTTAAAAACAAAAACAAAAAAAAGGAAACTTTAAATTTCTAGTTCATTCGGTGTTCAATAATCATATCGATTGGTTATGTTTTGTTCTAGATGTGTGTCGTTTTATAAAATTCTTTTTTTCTTTGTTGAATTTTCAAATATATACAGACGATTTACGACGAAAGAAACTTCGCGTTTATTTTTTCTAGTTTGAATAATGTCGACATCTATATATCGAATAAAAAAAAAAAATTAATAGAAAAGTCCTTGTCAATATTTCATTTATCGTTTTATTTAACCTTCTCTTGTTTGTTTTCTATTTATGATAATTAAGTAAAAGATAAAAGAATTATTCTCGAAACTTAAACAATTTGCATAAAATCAATTCGAATTGTGAAGATCATCCAATATGAAAATTTCGAAATGATCAGATATGAACAGTTTTTCTTTTCTATATAAATATTGAAAATATCATTGTGTTTCTATTATAAATATGCAACATCAACGATGGATTAAAAAAGAATACCAGTTGATATTTAATTGAATACTTGTGCATAGATTTCTACAGGTTGTTCTTAGATTCACTCGTGAAATCAAACTGTAATAACTCTTTAACGGTTCACATGAGTTTTTCATCACTTAATAGGATATTTTCGGAAGTTTTATTTCATATGATTTCACTGATAACTATTGTTTCAAATGATTAATATCTACTCTGAAAGCATGACACTATATGTTTCGAAATGTTTGCAGCAAAGCATTGCATAAAATTGGTTCTGAGATCATTTCGATCTCATCATCGATTATTGTTTATCCAGCAACAAAGGCTTTTATGTAAATTTCGATGCAAAATACCCATTCTGATATATAAATAGGAAGCGATGATGAGCTCGCAGTGATCTCGAAATCAGTTTTTTATGCACTGGTTTTTTGCAAATATTTCAAAACATATGATTTCATGCATTATAGTAGATGTCAATCATTTGAAACA